ACATGCCCTTGAATACTTGCTAAATGTTTACTGAATGTTAGGAACTTGATTTATTTTTTTTTTGACAGTTTATTTGTTTATTTGACACAGAGAGAGAGAGCACAAGCAGGGGGAGCTGCAGAGGGAGAGGGAGAAGCAGGCTCTCCGCCGAGCAGGGAGCCCGATGCGGGACTCGATCCCAGGACCCTGGGATCATGACCTGAGCCAAAGACAGATGCTTAACCGACTGAGCCACCCAGGCGTCCCTCGAATGTTAGAAACTTTAATAAAGCCTGATACTCAACCCCGCAAATCACACTTCAGTACAGCAGTCTGATGCAAGATACTCTTGCTTGTTGGAGGAAGAGTGTCTCCCACTTGTGCCCCATCTCTTGGCCGTAAACACTTCATCCTTCTGGCTCTCCTCAGCCAGCCTCCGGCTTCTGCAGGCTTTTCCTCGTGCTACCTTTCTTCCTGTGTCTGTCCCTGCATCGTGAATTGGCAGCCAGAAGGTTCGAATGTGCGATCGATATAGAACAAACAGTCCTTGCCAAGTGATGACTATCGTCCTGTGAGCGGTGGGTGGTGATGAGAGTGGGCTTGGCAAGAAGGAACCTCAGCTTTTCACGATTTATTTAACAGCAGCCCATATTTGCTCATGTGAAACTCTTTCCATTTTTTTTTTTTTAGTTTTTGTGTGTGTGTGTGTGTGTGTTACAGTATTTTTACTTCTCTGCTGAAGGTATAGTGGATGGTCTATTAGCTTCAGTGATTTGATATTTATGTCCATTATGAACTGCTCGCCACCACAAGCCTGGGCCCCATCTGTCAGCAGACAGCGTTGTCACAGGTGTTATCGACTGTATTCCCTAGGCTGTCCTTTCCATCCCCCATGACTGACTTATTTTGTAACTGGAAGTTTCTACCTCTTCATGCCCTTCACCTATCTGTTGGACGCCAAACTGATACCAAGAAGCAATACATATTCATCTCCTCTTTACCCACATTTTAATATCATAGAACCCTAATAGTGTAGAACTAAAAAGCCATTTTAAGAAGCCATCTGAAGCCTTTTTTGCATGTGGGGAAACTGTGGCTCAGAGACTTGTTGGTGCGCTGTAGCAGATCCCCACCCATCTGTGTCAGACCTACTGCGCTCCAGGCATTGGACCAGCTGCTCACCGTTCATTGTTTCCAGTCCTTTCAGCTACGTCTTATCCCGTGAGAGGAAAAAGAAATAATATGAGAGGAGGATTTTCACCCTCCTCCTCCCAGCCCTGGTTCCATTCATGGGCTTTCATTGAGCTGAAGTGGAGTTATGAGTGACAGGATAAAATTGAAAAGATCCAGGAGTGATTTTCACTGGAAGGGGTAGGAGAGTTCCTGGTGGGAGAGAGAGTCCATTCCAGAAGGTGAGAGGGTATGAGGGTGTGAGGAGTTGAGTGAGAGGAGATGGAAATATTGGGGACGTGCTGGAGAGCAGTGAGGGCGGTTTGAAATGGACCTTGAGGTTGATGTGCCCTCTTGGGCATTTGGGGGAGAATTCAGTAAATGTTTTCCTGTTCAGTTACCTTTTAATATTTCACTACATGAAACGCCGACTGAGATGGGCTTAAAGGGGCCCAGCTTTTTATGGGTGACAGTCCACATTTTAAAGTGAAGGACCTGAGACTTGGTTACGTGAAAAACTTGCAGCAGCTTGTTGAATTTATGTGTGTGTACAGTATATGGTGTGTGTGTGTGTGTGTGTGTTTTCCCATGGAGAGTGAAAATAAGAGTAGAAACCAGAGCCAGGGACAAAGAGAGGGTCTAGTACTCTCATTTCTAGCAGCATGATCCAGTAGATACCCTGAAACAAACACGTAACTTGAAAATGTAATTAGCTCAGCTGCTGGGAAGCTGGAGAACGTCTTAGAGTCCAAAAACAGTGAGAAAGAAAGAAGAAACTCTGAATGGTTTCATAGCCATTAGGGCAATGGAGTCAGTATTTTAAAAGCCTGTTACAAAGACAACAGGTCCAGATGATTTTACAAACAGATTTCACCCAATATTTAAGATACAGATACAGGAGATGAGGCTCCCGGGAGTCCCCCCTCACTTCATGAAATGACATTGCCTTGCAGTCAGCAGCAGATGACAACAGACAAGTGAAAGGATCGCTTTTATACACATTTTTGCAAGAATCATAAGCAAAATATTAACCACTCAGACACAGCAGTGTATAAAAAAGATAATACATCACCACAAAGTTTGGATTGTCAGAATGTAGCAAATTTACTTTAATGTTGGAAAATCTATTTACATAATTTACCAACAGTAAAAGACTACAGGAAATAAAAGGCATCTCAATAGTGCAGAAAAAGCATTCAATAAAATTCAACAACTGTGTATATTCAAAAAATTAGTAAACTAGAAATGGAAGGGGAATTCTTTTATCTTATGAAGGGAATCTGCAGAAAGCCTGCATTAAACAACCTGTGTGCTGGTCAATCTTGAAAAAGCAATCTATATAAAATCCGGGAGAAAACAAGGACATCTATTACTGTCATTTCTACTCAGCATTGTTGTAGATGCGCTAGCTTGCAAAAAAACAAGAAAAAGAAACAGAACGTGTAAAGATTGAAAATGAAGGGGCGCCTGGGTGGCTCAGTCGTTAGGCGTCTGCCTTCGGCTCGGGTCATGATCCCGGGGTCCTGGGATTGAGCCCCGCATCGGGCTCCCTGCTCGGCGGGAAGCCTGCTTCTCCCTCTCCCACTCCCCCTGCTTGTGTTCCCTATCTCGCTGTCTCTCTCTCTCTCTCTGTCAAATAAATAAATAAAATCTCAAAAAAAAACCCCAACAAATCTAGGGGCGCCTGGGTGGCTCAGTCATTAAGCATCTGCCTTGGGCTCAGGTCATGATCCCAGGGTCCTGGGATCGAGCCCCACATCGGGCTCCCTGCTCTGCGGGGTGTCTGCTTCTCCCTCTCCCACTCCCCCTGCTTGTGTTCCCTCTCTGTGTCTCTCTGTCAAATAAATAAAATCTTAAAAAAAAAAAAAAAGAAAATGAAGGGGAAAGCCCATTATTTGCTGATGGGTGTTAGTTGGAATATTATCCCCAAATATTAACTGCCCACCCCCCCATGGGATTATACACTCCCCCCCCACTTTTAGGTACATTACCTGTGAGTCCCATAGGCAGGGTTTAAGTGCCCTCCTCCTGCCTTGGGCTTGGCCATGTCACATGGTGTGACCAATGGGACATGTTAATGTGATTGCGCACTATTTGGCTTGGCTTCCATTTGCTCCTGTCCTTGGTTATGAGCATGTCCTAGATAGTGGCCACTGTTTCAGCTTGGGTTGGAGAATGAGAAGCCATGTGGAGGCCAGCAAAACCCAGAAAAACGGCAGCCTGCCACAGTTTTAATCTAATGCAAGCAAAAGTAATTTGTGAACTACTGGGCAAAAGCTTATTGATAAATACACGGGTGATCTGAATGTCCACAAAGAAAACCCAAAAGAAGCTACAGATAGATTATTAAAATTAATAAGAGCTTAGCAATGTTCAAAAATCACTTTTCTATTCACATTTTTAAATCCCTAGTAGCATATACTGTTCAAGAACATAATTTAAAAATCCTATTTACAATGTCATTAAAACTGTTAGCTACAAAACCTTTAAAATATATATATACAAAGTCTTTATGGAGAAAATTACAAATCCTAGTGAAAGGCATTTTAAAAGCCCCAAATAGATGGAGATAACTATGTTTATGTATAGGAAACCTCAATATTATATGAATATCAACCTTCCCTAGGGGCACCTGGGTGGATCAGTCAGTTAAGCATCCTATTCTTGATTTCAGCTCAGGTCATGCTCTCAGGGTCATGGGATGGAGCCCTGGCCTGCTTAAGATTCTCTTTCCCTTTCCCTCTGCCCCTCTCCCCATGTTCATGTGCGCACGCTCTTTCTCTCAAAAAAAAGGCCAGTCTTTCCCAGTTGGCCCATAGACTCAAAGTGATTCCAATCAGAAGTCCCAACATTTTTATTTCTATAAGCTTTTAAATTTAATAAAATTTTTATAGAATAACAAATGGCCGAGAATAACCAAGACACGCTGATGACTGCCTGATCTGTTTCTGCCTCTCATTTGAGCTCGAGATTTATCTTCAGTTGCCTTCGACCTTATGTACAATATACTGGACACTAACGATACATAGTTAAAACAGATAACAGATAACATTTATGTAGATATCTCAAAGTCAGCATGACCTAAAATGACTACCTAAAATAGCGATTTCAGGGCTGCGGCTTCTGTTAGATTCCTTGTGCTTCTGGATGCCGCTCCCATCTTCCTAGGCACCACAGCTAGAGATCTGGGGGGCATCCAGTGCTCTTCCTGTTTCTCATTCTCCATCTCTACTGCTGTTGCCTAAGTGGACCTGTGTTTTTGCCCGGACTAGTGAAAGTGCCTTCTGAATACTCTTTGTCTCCGGTCTCTTCCTTCTCCCAACCATCTTCCCACTTGAATGCTGAGTGATCTTTCTAAATCTGATCTTCTTAACCTCTGATTAAAACCCGTCACCTTCAGGATAAAACCCCAACTCCTCTAAGATTCGGCCTCTATCCTCAGCCCATCTCCCATCGTAATTTCATGTGTATCTTTGCCCAGATGGAGTAGTCTAACATATGTGTTAAATTGTCTTCCTCCAGAACGTTTATGATAATGCAATCACTGATTTTTTGCATCTGTTCAGGATAGACAGTATCTTGTTTGTGCTTAACCATTTAGATCTTAGATGATCATGAAATGTTTTTCCTCTCTTTGTACTTCTTATAAAATCAGCTCTTTAACTTAGCCGGTGTGTGTGTGTGTGTGTGTGTGTGTAAGTAGTTCTTTCCTGAAAGTAATTTGCACTGCAAAAGTTTCTCATTAGCTATGTCGTTTTCAGTGAGTTTTGCTAGATCTGTCCATGAATATTAGCTGCTATAGTGTGGTTTAAAAGGCATGTCTAATCTGCTGGATTTAATTTTTATTTCAGTTAAAAAATCTGGATCCATTTTTACTGTTTGATGAATTTAAAGGAGGTAGACCAGGCGGATTTCCTGATCACCCACATCGAGGTTTTGAGACAGTAAGTAAAATAATTTGACTGCAGAAGTGAGTATTTTTGAATTTGCCTCTGTTATTACATCTAGTAATCATTTCTTTTTTTGGTAAAGATTTATCTATTTGAGAGAGAGAGAAAGAGAGAGAGCGTGCACAAGTGGGGGGGTGCAGAGGGAGAGAAACTCTCAACCAGACTCTGAGCTGAGCACGGAGCTGTCTCGGGGCTCCATCTCATGACCCTGAGATCACAACGTGAGCCAAAACCAAGAGTTGGACGCTCAACCGACTGTGCTACCCAGGCGCCTCAAAATTTAATACTCACTTCTTTTTTTAAATATTTATTTATTTAAGTAATCTCTACACCCAATGTAGGGCTCAAACTCACGACCCCGAGATCAAGAGTCGCATAGTCTTCCGACTGAGCCAGACAGGTGCCCGTAGTAATCACTTCTAATAGAAAACTCAAAGTTAGAAACAGTGAATGATAGTTAAATTAATGTATAAGTTCTTAGTTATAGACTAGCTACTATGGCAAGCCGCATACTTTACATGAAGTATATTCAAATTTAAATATTTACTGTTTTTAATATTCTTTGAATTTGTGCCACTGGAGACATTTTTATTTGAGCAGTTAGTAAAGAACAAGAATTGGCTTCTGGGCCACCTGGGTGGCTCTGTCAGTTGGGCATCAGACTCTTGATTTCGGCTCAGGTCATGATCTCAGGGTTGTGGGATTGAGCCCCATGTGGGGCTCATGCGCTGGGCATGGAGTCTGCCTGGGATTCACGTTCTCCCTCTCCTTCTGCCCCTCCCCCACCTCTAAAAAGAATAAATAAAAAAAGAGTGGGCTTCTTAAAATATTTATATAATTAAAATAATTTCTGAGAGAAGAAACAATTTAAGATGTAATTTAAATAATTTTATGTAGAAAACTAGTTTTTCTTCAAGAATATTCAGAACTGTTTAATCTCATGTAATATTTTAAACTCCAAAGACAATCCAAAGAACACTATTAGTAATTTAAAGTCAGTTCTCAGGAATTATAGACTCAAGGGCTGAAATAGAACACAGCCTAAAATTAGGACTTTTAAGGTCATACCAATACATTTATAAATTTAACTGTAAGATTTGTAGCGATTGTGCTGAACACTTATTTTCAGTTTTAGATAAGGAGATAAAAATGTATAATGCAATATTGTGGCACTTTAAAAGATTCTCATTCTCCACATGTACCTCTATTCTGGGAAAACGCAGGGACAGTTAATGAGAAAATGTAGCCATCTGCTCCGTGGGAAGAACCTGTATTAGGAAACAGAGCAGGGCTCAGTGTGTTTGTCAAGCCAATTATTGAATGAATAAATATTTACTAAAGACTGGCGACATGAAGATATTGGTGTCAGGCGATCTTTTGTAGGTTGGGGGGTGTGTGTGTGTGTTGGCGGAGGGAGGGAGCCTAAGGAAGAAGGAGGCTTGGCACTTGCTTCCAATTCATAATCTGGTTAAGGAGGTGAAAGATGGACCAGTAAAGAGTTAACCACTGCAGTGTAAATGTTGAGTAAACCAAGAAGCTTCTGGAAATAATATGAAGGATCAAGGTAGTTGGACCGGTCTCCCTTTCTCACATAGCCATTGGCCTTCCAGTTCTCTTGTCTGTTAGCACTCTGGGGGCATTGTGTCTTGCCTTACAACAGTAATGGAGACCATTCCTTTCACTTACCCTACAGCCATGCTGGATTCTGACTCGGTTCCCAGAACACGTCTCCCCACAGTGCTCCTCTGCTTCTGGTATCAGGACATTCTCGCCGCTTCCTCACACAGCTCCGTTACCATCGTACTAACCCCTCAAAGTCTTTTTAGATGTCATTGTCTCCATCAAGTGTCATAGGACAATCTCAAGAGGGTGCACTTTCTCCTTCGTTGGGTCCCCATAGCATTCTGTTTTTACTAGTCTCATGCACATGAGACATTTAACGGTGGCCTCGATCATATTCTGTCAGGGATTAGGGTTAGGAATTGCCTCAACCTCCCCTCCCATAGTCCAGAGGACTATAAATTGCTTCAGCTGAGATAATCCCACACCTCTCCATGTTCTGCAGGTGGAGATACTCAGTAACTCCCGGCTGAATTTAATTGGATAAGGAAGAGTTTTTGCTAACTTCGATGAGTATATTAAATAAAACGAATGATGGCATACATTGCTTTCTTTTCCATTACGGAAAAGGAAACTTAATTGCCTTTATAAACTGCAATTTATAAATTGTAAGGTGCTCAACTTTAAACCGTGAAGGAGTTCAGCTGTAGCATACTGGTGTTTGGCCCTTGACTTTTGAGTAAGAATTTTCCTTCCTTAAAACCGAAGTTATAATTACAGTCAATACTCATTATGTGTGGATTCAGGTACTGTCTTAGGTGCGCCTTCCCAGCTGAGGGCAGATGAGGCCACGCTGCCTTCTCGTTTCAGCTCCGACTGTAAACAGGTGTCCTTGCGGTCTACTCAGTGCCACATCTTCCACACTTCTGTGCTTTTTGTTGGTGAGTTCACTGTTTAAAATAGTTCCCAAGCATAGTGCTGGAGTGCTGTCTAGCGTTCTAAGTGCAAGAAGGCAGTGTTGTGCCTTTTGGAGAAAGGAGGTGTGTTAGATAGTTCTGTTCAGGGTTGAGATAGAGGGCTGCTTGCTGAGTTCAGTGTTAATGAGTCATTACCTTGACCTAATGAGTCAAGGTAAAGATACCTTTAAAATGAGGTATCTTTAAACAGAAACACACATAAGACAAGGTTATATATTGATTGGTTGCTGAAAATGCTGTGGTTAGAGGCTCCAGGGGACCAGACCCTGTATTTCCCCAAGAGCTTTGGTTCGGTGTTCATGAATCTGATGATCATGGCAACTTTATAGAACTACCGGGAAAAACTAGAATCAACTGTATCCGTTTTTCCCAGGCGTGTAGGTAAGCCGAGGGCTCCTCTGTCTCTTAATGTGAATGTTAAAAGTCTGCAGTTCAAAACAGGGCCTACTTGTAGGCTCTCATCAACTCCTCCTGGCTCATTTTCTACAGGCTTGGTATAAAGTTTGAAAAGGCTAATTAGTATAAGGAAGGGAGCTAGGGGGCGCCTGGGAGGCTCAGTGGGTAAAGCGTCTGCCTTCGGCTCAGGTCATGATGTCAGGGTCCTGGAATCAAGGCCCGCATTGGGCTCCCTGCTCACTGGGGAGTCTGCTTCTCCCTCTTACTGTCCCTCTGTGCTTGCTCACGCGGTTTCTCTCTCTCTTCTCTCTTTTCTTATGCCTGGAGAAATACAAGCATTCCCTGAATGTTGACGTAATGGGTGCATTTTCAGGATCAGTGGTCCTCAAAACAGGCTGGGAGCTACGTTGAGTCAGTGCCGTGCTGACGGACATTAACTTTTTAAAATAAAAGTGCAATTCTGTTGTACTAACACATGAATATAAAATATAAATAGATATATACATTAGGAGTGCATGCTCACTTCTTAAACTAATAGTGATATGTGATCAAAGAAACGTGGAGAATATCATCCTACAAAATTCTTATTACCTTGAGTGTGAACTGTGAAACTGGGACCTCAGGCTCCCCCTCTGATCTGCGGATGCACATTCTGCATTTCATCAACATCCTCGAGTTGCAGTAAGACTGGAGAAGCGCCCATCTAGATAATCTTCGAAACCAGAAATACCGTAATTCTATAAGAGCCAGGACCTGATTTTACTGAGTTAGCGGGTAATCGTTTCTTTTTAACTTAATGGTTTGGATGACTATAGCTTTTCTGTTCAAAACTTGCCTGACAATTGAGGGAGAAGGAATGTGCTGGAAAAGGAGGCACAGCTGGAGGTCACAAGACAAGGGGGAAAAATGCATTCAGTATTTCCTGCCGGGAGTTAGGACTCTGGGGAGCCCTGTTTTCAAAAGGCCTGAGTGGTAAAGGGTGGAATAATTTTGTAGTTACCTATTTCTGGTCAGGCATCATATCTTGATTTGCTTAGGGCGGCTATGAACAATCAGAAACATAATGATCTGAAAAACCCATGCCCTGCCCAAGTTTAGTTTAGCTTGAAAAAGCAGCGCTTGAAGTTCAGTGCACCATTGATGAATTTTTCACCTGTTCTGAGAAGAAACGTGTTTTGTGCCTTTCAAAATCATCCTTTAAATTACAGCCTCAGGACTTTCCTGGTTCCAGCACTGAAAGTCCCATGCTCCTGGGAACCCCTCAGTCCCGGGGAAGGTGGCATGGTCTGTCACTCCCCTGTGGGGACATTTACGAAACCGTCATACTTCAGGGACATTTAAGGATGACCTCGTCGCTTATGTGCTTAGCTGGGCTTGGGAGTGTTTTTTCAAGTTTTTCCCTACAAGCCTCAGCAGGCTTTTTGATTTTGCCCAGGAGAACAGACCGGTCCTGTTTGCAAGGGTGTGCCCATCGGAAAGGCCACACTCCTATTCGCTGGATGGCAGCCAGCAGCATTTGCATGCAACGCCTGGACCATATCCTGGTGAGGAAGGGAAGGGTGCTGGTGATTCACACCTCGAGCCCACACAGCCTGTTTTTTCTAGCTTGCTGTGTACTCTCAAAACCAAGCCATAGCAATTGTTGAAGCCAAGCTGGGGGTTGGGGGGGACAAAAAACTTGATTAAAGTCAAAACCCATTTTGCAAAGACAAAAACTTACTCTAGGAAAACTGGGAAAGAAGGGTACTTTCTCAATATCATGAAGACTCTTCAGTGAACTTCTCGTGTTGTGTCTTAACACTGAGATATTAGACTTAATCCTGCTAATTTGAGGAAAAAAAGAGATAAGGCTCTCTACCAGCACTATTATGATTTAATAAGGCTCTGGAAGCTTCGGAGCTACTCAGTCACAGCTGTCGGAGAGGAGGAGGAAAAATTATTTATTTGTAGGTAATACGGTACTAAAAGCAAACCCTACAATGGCCTCATCCAGCTTTGGGTGGTGATGTTGATTGAAGGAGGATGGAGGGCACAGGATTTGTCCAGAAGCTGTGCTTACCG